GAAAATTCCTTGGTTGAAGGATACCATTTCCTGGGTGCAGGAGTGTGGGCAGGCTTGCCTATCCCCCCTGTGGACGGCACCTTACGGGTCGAGCGAGTTCAGTTGAACTACAGAAGTGAGCGGGGCTAATCAGCCACCTAGTACACTCTTCCTTGCGTGTAGGTACGTTAAGCTATGGTAAAGCACTCACTTGTTCTGTTTGGTTTGCAGATGTAGTATTCCAGAATACTCCGGGCCTACTCGGGCCTACTCCTGATGTACCAGGTGGCTGATTCACGCCGCGCACTTTCGTTAGATATCCTGTACCGCATGCATGTGCGGGCGGGTTTGCCTATGCTCGCTGCCCACAGCTCCTAATGGCCCCGTGCGAGTAAGCAACCCGCCCACGCGCGTGCATGCGGTACAGTATAACTACGAAAGTGCGCGACGTGAATCAGCCACATCGAACTGAACCGCAAGTACTCCGAGTGTAACACGTGTGTACTCCACGTACTCCAGGTGTATTCCCGAGGGGGAAACGACCGTTAAACTTTGTGTCAGCCGGATTACGGATTACCCGGATAACCTCTGGAGTATCCTCCTGATTACGTTGTCTCTTCTCTAGGATTACCGTGGATTACCCTAAAATTTCCTCGGATTACTCCTGGATTACCCCTGGAATACATCGAATTTACTCGGATTACACCTGCCGGATTACCTACTGGCTGTCATCCGGATTACCTTAGTTGTTTCCCCCACGTGTATTCCTGTGTCCCTTGTAATTTGTAGTTGTCGACCCCTCGCTGTCATCCTGCTGGCAGCCCTTGTCCATCGCCCTCAACCACTTCGAAATACTTAAGTATGAAACGATTTTGCATTAGAAACAATACAAGAAAAATTGGCTTTCCTGTAATTCAATGAGTTTTGACTCGAATCTAATAAAGAAATTTTGTTTCAAATTGAAATATATTTGTGATTCATTCACAAAATTGTACGAACCATTTGCCCACAAGGTTTCACCAATAAATAGCTAGATTCGCCGAAATGCATACCAACAGTGAGAGGAATTAATCAATTTATTTAAGGTAGAGGGGAGAGAGAGGGGGAGAAAGAGAGGGGGGAGGGGGGGGGGGGGGGAAGGAAGAGGGAGAGATTTTTTGTTGTTGTTGCGGGCGAAGTATGAATCAAACTGCTGGAATGTTCAGAAGCAGTAACTTTTTTTACATAAACAGAGAAGGAATCCAATATTCACGCATAGGAAACGCATAGAAAACGTAGATGGACTTAAAATATAGCAGGTAAACGTTTAACAAATTTAATCGTTTGGAACGTTACATTAAAAATCCAAACATTTGATCTATGAGTGCCGTTTTGAAACCCTTTCATGTGTATAGATTGTACGTCACACGCTATTGTTTGCGCCACGCGGCGTCACACACGGCGCGGACCGGCCGCCCGGTGCCGGAGAGGACGAGCCGGATCATCACCAGGCAGCGCACCGAGTTTTTGTAACTCAGTTATGCTAACGCCTCCCTGCCGCACCACGCCCCGCCACGCCACGCCCCGCCACGCCAGCCACGTCCCGTGAGCGCCACACAACGCTCGCCCCCGCTCGCTCGGGCCCCTCTTGTACCCGCAAAGGTCGAAACAGAGGGCGTAACCGTGACGAGCGGGCCTGGCGGGCCGGGCAGGCCGGGCGGGCGCCGCCTGCAGAGTCCGGGTTAGGCAACCCGGTGCGCGTCCCGGTGCGGCGGGCCGGCCTCCGCTGCACCGTAGGCGGCGACCTGGCGCGGGGCCTTGCGGGGTGGGGCCGCCTTGCCCTGATCCGGCTGTGCAGCTCATAAGTAGTGAGGACGGAAATGTGTATTTCTTAAAATAAATTCTCGTGAGAATCAGAGCAAGCTACCAGATGGGCGGGCTGGCTGCGCTCCCAGACGAGTCACAGGCGCCCTCTCTAGGCCGGGCTGGACGCGCTGCACCTCAGTGTGCTGTGTCGCGGACGACGCGACGCCAGCGCCAACCCCGCGGCCCGCGCTCGGCGGGGGCCGCAGCGTCGCCACGGCACCACCCCCCGCGCTCGGCTCGCTCGGCGCCGGCCCGAGGCCAGCCGATCGATGCGCGGCGAGGAGGTTAGGTCCCTGCTGCTCACCGGGTGCGGGGGTGGGCTCAGCTAGGCCCGCGCGGCCACGCGCCCTCGCGCCCGCCCCCAGGCCCGCGGCCGCGCAAGGCGGTGGAGCCGGGACGCAACTGGAGCGACCCTGGGAGCCGCCCCGGACCGCTGGAGCCAGCAGACGACGCTGCGCTGCGCTGCCAGGGCTGTTACTCATCTTGCTCATTTTTCTCCAGAGTCCAACTCCAGCACCGGCCTCAGGTAAGCAGAGAGCGTGTAAGCTCACCCTAGCGATCTACCGATCCGCTCTCGCGCGGTTACAAATCAACGGCTGCATAAATAACTGCTTTTATATTTTTCTCTACACCGACATAATCCCTGAGTGGGCCGCTATGCGTCAATTGTGCGCAGTACGGGCCGATGTAGACCAATGGGCGTCCGGGGGGTGCGTGGACGCGCCTCGTACCAAAGACGAAAGGCATGCCCCATTTGCTTCCATTTTAATTTCAGAAACTCTTCTGACGAAAATGCTTCAGATATCTCCCCGATTCAAAATACTGGGACATGGAAGTTGTCCTTTTGGCCATTCTAAAACCGGTGACGTTCATCTGCGTTCGCTGCGCTAAAAGTGTTGGAGGTTAGGTGCCAATGTAAACAAACAAAACTCTGACCTCTTTGACAGGGCACAACGTTGCCGACTTTGACGCGTTTCGTTTGATTCGAAAGGGTTTCCTTACTTTCCTCCTGCAGTAAAAAAAAATATCCGGTGAAAAACTTACAGCAAAAAATAATTTTTGCTAATTATGTGTGACATAAATGATCCGTTTACTCTCGATGTTACCAATGTGCTAGGGCTACGGCATAGCAGTGTGCGGGTTTTCACGAGTTTGCCTACTCGCTCTACCCGTGGCACCATGACCCCCTCCCCTAGGGTATGCAAACCCGCAACTCTGCTGTGTCGTAGCCCTGACGCGGTACAGGGGACCGGACACGAGCCGCACCGATCTACCCGCGCGTTACCGCCCTCCCGCCTATTAGCACACAACCACTCGTCATCGGTCCCCTCCCTACCCGCGGCCAGACAGCACTCCAGCGGGAGACACACCTCCCTTCCCCTCACCCCAGCGGGGCTGTCAGCTGTTTGTCATGCTGCACATGCAGCCACCACCCCGCTAAATTTACGCACTTGTTCTTCCCTCCCTCCCTC